CAGTGCTGTGGAATGACAATGATTTATGCAGCAAATTCATTTGATGTCAAGTAACGGAGCATAAATAACAGATGTAAAATTGTGAACAATCACGGTTAGAAAATGGAAACCAGCTGATCCTGAATGTCTCGGCTCCAAAAATCCTGATGGGACTAAAGCTGAAGTTGTTTCAAAAACTTTGCAAATGGAGAGGCTGCATCTCCCAAAACCACAAAAAAATTAATTGTGAAAACCCATCAGAGCAAGGCTGAGCCTCCCTGTGGAGAGCGTTGGGGATAACAGGAGATCACAGCTGAAACACAGGAATTTTCTTAACTTGCTAAGGGAGCTTTCATTTGTTTGTTTTCCGAGATGAAGAGCTGCTTTCCTGGAGCTAGAGCTGCCATTTGGGTTCAATGACCAGCAAAGTTGTATTTTTAAATAATCTGTGTGTCTGTTGCTGCTTAGGTCAATTTTATTCAAAAGCGCAGTTTAGGGATAACTCCAACACCAACCAGAGAGCTGACGAAAGACTCCTAACGGTGTCTGGATCTGAGCACAAAGTTTCCAGGTAACACACGTGGGGGTCTGTGTGCTTTAAGATGTATTTTATCAGGAAACACAGGAGATCAAAAGAAATGAAACTGGGGGAGTGTGTGTCTGTATGAACACACCTCTTTGGTGTAAATAACTTGCACTTGAATTTTTCCTTAACAGCCTGAATTTGTTGCTTGTTAAGTGATGCTACAGGGCCCAAGGCTCCTGTTTCATGGGGGGAATAATCATATCCTGGGTGTAGCTCTGACTTCTGGTGCCATCTGCACACATCAGGGCAATTCTGGGCCTGCCCTTTGAGTGTGTTATCACAGTTCTTCTTGTTTTGATTTTGTTTCAGGATGTACAAGAAAGATTACAGGCTTGAGTCAGCCCGTGGGCCCGTTTCCTGCTGGTCAATAGATCTAACTCCCTAGGAAAAAATCTTCTGGGAAAGAAAACTATGCAGATGATGCTCTCCCATGTACTTTTGATACTTTCATCAAGAAAACCACTCAGTTAAAACCTTATTGTTACTATATACATAGTAAAATATATATCACAAATATTTTACCTTGAAACAATTATACTTGCAAGATGAGACTGTGCCTGCTTGTTTGCTTGTTTGAAAACAGCTTCTAATCCATTGTTGTTGAAGATTTGTGTGAATGAACTAAATAAAATCAGCATTATCAGCTCACAGTTTGATATGGACACATGGACTCAGGTTTCCAAAATAAAAATCAGTGGCAACATCATCCAAGCCAACAAATGAGTCATGCAAACAGGGATAGATTTCTAAAATGTGCACCCTCTATCCAGGTATAAGTGATGGTGTTCCTGAACCATGTGTTTTGTGGAAAGAGCAAGAAATTTAAGGCAGTATTTGTTTATCATTTCTCTCATTTTTTATTTTATTGTTGCATTAAGGTTCTCTTGGAGGTCATTCTGTAAGGCAGTTCAAATCTGATGAAATCAGCACTAAATAGGATCATTTGGAGACCACAAACCTGCACTGGCTGCAGTCCCATTCACTGCTGCAAAGTCTTTGAGGTTCCCTTTTAAAAACATCTGCAGAACAGCCGTTCACGGGTTGCAAAAAAGACCTCTGTCTGGCTGCAAAAGACAGCATCTCGGCCCAAAAGTTAGCAGCCATTTCTGGCACCATTTCGTACAGCATTTTGCAAACATTGGAAGATGTTTCACAAATAATGAATAACTCAACCCCAACTTGCCACGCACGGAGGTAACACTGCAGAGTAAACACACACACAGAAGCTTCTGCCCATGGATTCCAAGTTGTACTTTCAGTCTTCAGCTTGTTCATAGCTTTTAATTCTAAAATTATTTTGTGTTTTAGAATTTTTGTTCCTGTGTATCTTTGAACCCATAAACATGCCAGCAGTTCAACAGAAGTTGCTTTCTATCCTGCCAATAATACATAACTGGAAAAACCTTATTATTTTAGAGCAAAGTACTAAAAGAGAAGCAATTTCTTGCCAAAGCCAATAAACAAACTACGTAATTAGAAGCCTGTTTTTATAGAAGAACCATGCAGACATGATGCCAAGATATGTTTGTGTGAATTTCTTGGACTTTCAAAATGTGGATTTGCAGGTGGCGATTTTGCTGGACAAATTACACGACAAACAATGTGGAATTTGGAAACTGGGAACGCCAGATTGCTCACTCGCATCAAAAACGGGCTTACCCAATTTGCAAGGCAGAAGATTGCATTATAAATGAATTTGGGATTTGAGTCACGTGCTGTGGATCCTGGGTTCTATCGGCGGACTTGCTGCAGCTTAAAAATCCCTGCTTTCGGTTGCAGGGTGTCCACGTGCCCTCTCCTGCCCCGCCTGCCAACTGCAGGGATAGCGACAGCCCTGATGGGGAGCAGTGGGGCACGGATGGAGCAGCTTTCACCGCGCACCTCTGCTCAGGTGAGGCTCGAACGTGTGCGGGCCGTTCCCCAGAGCGGCCCCAAGCCCCGCAGTGCCGACCTTCCCCGGGCAGCCCCTGCCCTGCTCGGGCAGCTCTCCTTGCTGCAAAGAAGCACATCCCGCCAACCCGGACGGATGGGAAGAAAACCAGCCGCCAGCCTTCCTCATAAAAACTCTTTGCGTAGTTGGGGTCTTTCCCCCTTCTTTCCACAACTTCCCAGCGGAGCTGTCCCTGTCCCCCGGGCTGGATCCGATTTGTGTGGCTGCCTCAGGCGCCGTGCCCGGAGCCGCTCAGGAGCCTCTCGTGTCTCCAAGGGGCGCTCGCGGCTGTTCCCACAGGGATGTCTGTGTTTCCTGCAGCAGCCCGATGTCGCTGCTGTGCCTGGCTACTGCGGCTCCCAGATTCCTGTAAGTGCGGCTTCCCCCCTCCAGGTATGCTGTCCCTTCCATAAGGATGTGCCATTCCACTCCTCTTCACTTGAATTGTATTTTAATTTGATGTTTAGTCACTCTCCTCCTGCCCTTTCTGAGGCCCAGAGTGAGTTCTGATTTCCTACACTCCCTTCCCTTGCTCAAGGAGCTGAAGGCAGACACAATAATGAATATTTTGCATTCTGTAATTTCTAATTCCAATGCAAAATAACAGATATATCCACATCTCACAGTAGATCTCTCTCACACTTCTCTTTCAACCAGCATTGTCCCTGTTGGCAGCAGGAGTAAATGTTTTATTTAACTGAAAGCACCTCTCTGCTATTTCTCTCTGCCCTCCTTGTGACCTCTAGGTCCATTTGCTGTTATCTCCTACCCTGCAGGAATCTTGGAGTGCATATTGAACAGGAGCCATGCAGAAGCAGACCAGAACCCCTGAGTTCAACTCCTGGCTCACAGTTCTGTCACAGCTGTCAAGGCTCCTGCTACCTCCAGGGATTTGCCTCATCCCCATTAATCAAAGAAGAAAGCTCAGTGCCCAGCACTGCCTTGTGCCCAAACTCTGCCAGACAGGCAGGTCAAGGTCTGCTGTGCCCTACTCTGGTTTATTGTGTTAATGGGGTGAGTACAGGACCAGTCCTGATTCTATCTAATTAATTATCTTAGAATAAAAATCTTGGAATAAAAGTTTAGAACCATGTAAACTTAACCTTACTAGTTCCAATGTTCTGGTCTCTCACTCCTTTCTGTTATTCTCCCTGCCTTCCCCATTTTTCAGTAATTTATAACCATCTGTAGAAACTACTGTTTTCTTTCATCATTTTTGTCTGAATTTAGCAGGCAGAGATATGTAGCCACTGTGACACCCTCTCCTCTTCCCAATTTTTTTTAATCTACAAAACTTTTGCTTTCAGTAAAGATTTTGCTCCTGGAAAAGGCCTGTATCTCCCATAAATGTAACAGTAAGTATAATTTTTCTCTATTTTTTTCCTCTTTGATTCTTCTGTTGAATTTTTGTTCACCTCTACCTTTGTTCTTTCAATTTAACCCATCACATCTCATGCCATCTCTGTTTTTCCCACTACACTCCTCTTTCCTCAGGTGTGTCTGCATTCTAGTTTTCCACACACTGACTTTCTCTCCTTGTCATACAGCAATAGTGGAATTTTCTGCTTTGCCATGTGAGACCACAATTACCTTGGTGTGGCTGATTTGATTAAAAGAAATCTTGAAGTAAATAAGAAATAGGCTTTTCTTTTTCTTTAGAAGTAATACCTTACAATTTCCTCCAGTACAAAATGAATATATAAATAAATGGGACACTTCTTGCCCTGAATATGTTCATAAATTCTGTTATGGGAACAGAGGGAGGGGTTCTACACAAAAAAAGACAAAGTCCAGAAGAGCTGTTATTACTTAAATGTGAGTGGTGCTTGCAACTGTGGTATTTCATGAATTTATAAAGATTTGGGCATTCGGAAGTTAGGTTCAAATTAAAATACTAAAATACCCAGCAGTCCTGGATGCCAACAATCATCCTGTGTGCTGGCATCAGCCCTCAGCACTGCACAGTCGAGTGATCGGGAGGTTCCAAGTGCCGTGGAATTATCCCAAAATCTGGGCTGGGCTGTCGGCTGCCCTCTCGTGCTCAGTCGCGAAATGCATCTGGCGCCCTGGGCTTTGTGAAACCGGAGCGCAAACATCCACAGCTGCTGGAATAACAGGACCAGGCACTGAGTGCTGAGGCTTTATTTAAGTCACTCCGTTATTGATTTAATATTGGATAGAAGGTTTCTGTTACGTTTTACAAAGTAACGTTCAAAGTCAGAATTTTGAACCTAATAAAGAGGACGTTCCAGAGGAGGAGGGGTATCTGTGCACTCGAGGGGAACAGCTGCCCTGCACTTCAGATTCCATCAAATGCACAGCAAAACTGTATGAGAATCCAACATACCTTGTCCTTGCCAAACATGGTATGCTTACAGATTTTTAATAGTTCTTAAACATTAAAAAATACTGTTCTTTCAGACAAATCATCCGTCTACCCACGAATTTGGAGGAAGCTGTAGTTGCTTAAAACAGACTGGAAACAATATAATCCGTGTGAACACCGTCTATGAGCCCAGCTCCGTTGTCATGGACAAACCAGCAAGGAATATCAACACCATGGCTGGGATCTCTTCTGTAATCCTTCTGCCAGCCCCTGAAAGGGAAACACAGCCATGGGAGTACCAAGGTAGGAACTGCACTTGGACAAGGCAATCTTGCCTAAGTCTTTGCTAAGGACTTAATTATTTTGTACCTCGTTACTATCAGTTCATTGTTTTTAACAACCATCGTGGCATCTGGTTTCTTGGGATCAGACCCAGGATGAATTTCAAGTATGGTGAAGTCAATGGGGTGGAAAAATTGTCCTAAAAATAGAAGCCAAAATTAACATTTCAGGCATGTTGCACACATTAAAACAGCAACCAAACAGAAATCCCAGAATTTCTACATCCCCATGCTGGTTTCCACGTCCCTTCAGGGGTTTGAATGGATAAGCAAACACCAGGTCTCATGTAAGGTTGAACATATGCCCATGGAATTATTTTCTATCTACAATCCATATCATCTGGATGTAAGTTCCAGCTTCTGAGTGCACAATACAATTAGCCTTTTCTATATATCTTTCAAGATATCCTCACTTGTTGTCTTGTCTAGTCAACTGTATTTATGATATAGTCCCCAAGTTTTTAGCTTTTTTTTGAATCAGATAATGTGTGTGTTGATCTCTGAAACCTCTGGATGTGACTGTGCTCAGCAGAAGGCTGACAGCTAAGGAACTTCTGTACTCCTGCCAGGATTAGCCTTTGCACACTTTTGTCCTTTCTGGGCTGGTGCAGTTCATTGTTTTCCACACTGAGTAAACTTATTGACCCAAAAGGAATGTTTGCTGCCCTCATCAGATTTTGTAAGTGAAAATTGGAAGGCAAATGTCTGCTCTCTGTGTTTTTTTGCAGCAGAGAATGCCCACCACCAAACCCACTGCACTGGCAGAAAATGGGATCAAACTTTTGATCCCTGAATTATCAACTTCACTTTCTACTAAAACAAAAAATGTTGGCTAACATAAGGAAAACCCTGGATGATACAAAGTCATATTGTGGGTTTAATATATGCTAATAAATCAAGATATACCTTAATCAAGTTATACCTTAACAATTTCTTTTCTTACAAGGATCCACTAACTGAGGCTTGGCAAATTTTGATCAGGCAAACAAGTATTTTTTCAGAGTGCCTGTGTTTAGGCAAAGGGGGATAAGATGAAAGGAGAGGTTAAACCATCCAAGAGACTGGAGGAATAGTGTAGTAAGAAAAAAAAAATCTGTAGGTGGGACTTAGCAAGATAAAGAGTTTTAAAGATGCCAGTGAGGACAATGAGTGCCAGTGACTTCAGCAGCAGAAGCAGAGAAATTTGTGAAAAGATAATTCACACAGTCTGAGCCCAGAATGTTTTGTCACAAATCTTAATTCTGTCAATCAATGTCATCTCAGTTTCCTCCATTCTCAGTTCAGAAAGGTTAAGTACAAGCTTGTGTCTACAAATTATGCAGCCTCAAAAGGAACGACCAGCATGGAAACACTAAAAGAAGTCATACCTAATAATCCATGGGTCTGTTCAGACAGTTTATCCTCTTCCAGTGTATACAGTCCTAGGAAATCTTGGTGGAGTGGATGCTTCTTCCATACTTGGTGCAAAACAACAACAAATGAGGCACCACTGCCCATTGAGAGCACCAGATTTTTTTTTCTATTAATTATTAAAGTTAAGCTGAGGGGGAAAAAAACCCAAACCATGAATTAGGACATGGTGCTTCCCAGAGTTAACAGCAAGGAGAAGAAATGTGAGAAGAAGAAACCTCTCCAAGACATAAACATGGCTTTATAAAGTGCTGAGCGTTTTTTAGAAGAGAGGATTTGCTGCCTAGTTTGGTCCATGGGAGTCTCTGTATGTGTGTTCACAGACAGTCACAGAATCATATTAAATTACATTGGAAAAGGCTACCTGGCCTTTAAACTTTTCAGTAAGATGGTTTTACCTTTAACAGTGCAAGTAATCAGAGACAGGTCAGTAGATACAGCACCTCATGCTCAGTAACACAAATTCTATTGATAAAACCATCGCTTCCTTGGCTGGATGCTACATGACAATTTTTCCTTTTGTTTTTCAGAGAAGTCAACTCCCAAACTGCCTAGGTTAGTGCTAGGATAAAGAAGTTTTGCTTCTGATTGTATTACTGGCATCATCCATGTTCTAGCATAATTTAAAAAAAAAAAAACCAAACAAAAAGGCATGCTGTGTGAATAAGTTTTGCTCTCTGCTGCAGAGCCAGGCCTTGAGAAGGCAGGAGGAGGAGATGTTGCCCATTCCTTTCCTGAACTTCCTTTTGCACAGGTATAAATGATTCTGTAACAGAGAGATCCCATGAAAAATAGACCTGCTGACAGGGCAAAATGTACCTCTTCTGTAAATGCCACAATTTCCATTTCTTAAACTGGAGATTGTTTATGGTGCATTATTATGTCTTTGAAAGATCACACACTGTGCCTAAAGTTAATCTTCAAGCATTTGCAAGACACTGCTGCATTAAGCACGAGACCAAATCTAGCTTTGCCTTAGCCATGGTAATAGACTAGCAGGGAAAAATTTTCACTTACTTATTCCAAGCAGAGGAATTTGTGAATAATTCAGCAGTTACACAACAAAATAGAGAGCAGAGTCCAGCAGGGCTTGAATCAATTTCTTTTGTAGATTCAGACAACAAATCTTAGAAGTGTATTATTGATCAATGTTTAAAGAAGTGTAGAAAGTAATGCAAGAGCCTGATGGCCTTTCTTTAACCCTTACCCTGCTTGTTGCAAGGTGACTGAGTCAAGCCAGGTGAAACCCATTTTTTCGTTGCCATTCTGGACTGTGATCTTCTCAGGAGTTACTGTCAGTTTTAAATCCAGGTGCTTATTTGCAATGCCAAGTTTTCCAAAATACGAATTTTGGATCTTTGCATCGCTATTTGCTCTCTTATCACCAATGAGTTCTCCATTTACTGTGATGCCTAATATAGAAAGGAAACAAGTATTGCTTTATAGACAGGACTTGATTAACTGATGCCAAGGAGTGTCTTGAATATTTATCAAAACCAAAGGAATTAGATATGAGTTGAAAAATATATCAGAATTACTTGTGCATATTTGTTCTAAAGTAAAATAAAGCCCTGGGGGCTGTTCAGTGAATTTCCACAAAGCCAACAATCATTTTCTTGAGAAAAGTTCAATATTTCCTAGAACACAAAGAGTTTGTGATGGGCACAGATGGCCTGTGTGACATCAGTCTCTCTTTACCAGATATTCCATGAACTGGCAACTTAAGGATTATTTTATTGTCTGTACTAAAACTCACTGAGACAAATTACTACTTTCAACCCTCACAGTGGTTTTCAAACAAAGTTTAAAAGTTCATTTTGCTTCAAGAAGTGAAAACAGTCATGGTAATGTTACCTTATCATAACCACAGGACCTCCTACTAACTTTGCAGGGAAAAAAAGCTTATGCATTATAAAGAGAGAAACAGCCTTTATGCACAGGACATTTTGTTAGAAGTATCATGATTTACTGATTATTTACAAAAAATAAATTAAAACTCACCTGTAACTGGATCATTTATCAAATTTAAGACAGTACCCGGGTTTTCATTGATATTGAAACAGATGGCATCTCTTTTTTGTGGCACCCATATCACGAAGTGTGGGTCCCCATCAACTGCAAAGGCAAATCACTGGTGTTTGGACAGTGACACACGGGGCAAAGCTCCACATGAGCAGTTAATACTGTGCCAGTGGAACTGGGCCCTTCACAGGCTGCATGAAAGTGTTACTGAGAGCAGGAAGGGACCTGAACAGAGAACAGGCAGGTACCAACACAACATTGACAGGAAGGAGGGGTGAGGAAAGGACCACAAATCATTTCAATTTCTTGATCTTTAAAAGACACTGAGAGATGTTTAAAGTAAACTAAAATATTAGCCCCTTGAAACTGAAAAATGGCAGCTTTTATGGAAGGGAATTATCAAAAAGACTCATAAGAATTGTGTAATTTAGCCTTAAAAACTCTCTTCTGTTCTCCTTCTAAACAGACAGCACTCAAACCACTCACCACTGGTGTACCATGTGGGTTGTGATCCTCGATATATTTGTGAACCTGCAGAAGGAAAAAAACTTGTTAGGAAAACACATCAAAATGGAAAATGTACATCCTCTCTGCATGCTACAAGTAAGATGTCAGGAGGTTAATATGTTTGTTAAATCACTAATTCCATTCTGGTTTTAAAGCATATAGTCCATGGGATGACAGTTTGTGCTGCTCTTGAATCAAAAAAAGCCTCACAATAGAGACAGATTTCACTTGTCTACATTGCTTTGAGGGTCTCCACAGAGCCCAGGTAATGTATCTGCAGGACACAAATATCTCAGGCTTTAGGATCAAGCTATCAGCAAGGCAATGCAACATCATCCAGTGAAAACTTTTGACATTTTGACATTTGTTTTTCCAGAATGAATTTAAGTGTCTCAACAAAAACTTGAGAAAACTAGACAGAGACAGAGAGACTGAGACTAATCCCCAGAGGATAAAGGTAAATCTAACTCTCCCATTCCCAGGATTTCCCAGCCAGCCATTTGATGGGTCAGTTGCTGCTTCTCTCTCTTGAATTAAAACAGTTACTTTTTTCACAAGTAACTGAAGATATTAATTTAACCAGGATGTTGGACATCATAGGCCCTTGCTTTATATCATGGAGATCCAAACTGAAGTCCATCCTCTGTTTTTGGGAAACACCTTTCAGGAAAAAATGGTGGATGGATGAATTGAGATTTACTCCTCAAAAACTATTTAGCTGAAACTTTTTCACCTCATGTTGTTCAACCTTTAAGTGTGTTTTCAGCAGGGAGCAGAATTTGGCAGTATTTGTTAAAGTACAGTTGTAAACCCAGACATGGCAGTCTCCAGCTGTCTGGTAACTTCAGTTGACAGATCCTGCTCCATTCAGAAACTTAATGACTTACCAAGCATAGAAGATACGGAACTCAGTGCTGTGAAGGAAACAAAATGTTATTTTAGAGGCTACAAAGAACAAAAAACAATTTTTCTCGCTTCCTTCCACCAAAACCAACTCAAAAAAATATTGTAATTACGCATAAATTTCTAAATTATTACAAAGGAAAAACTTTATTTGATACTGCTACAAAGCAGTGTCATGAAAGGGCTGAAAGCACACCCTCCTTTTCAGCAAGAATGTTCCTTCTCCACAGGCCTGGGCTTGGCTCTGTATGGGACTGGGACAGCCTGCTCTTCTGTGATTCCTCTGTGCCACCTTGCTCTAAGCTGTACTTCCCCAGAAGGGAAGTCAGTAAGATTTTCTCTCCTACTTCCATATTTTTCTAGTCTTCTGCTCTTTTTACACCTGAAACTATGTCGGGGTGTCTGAAGTCAGGGCTTTGTTCTGAAGGAGTGGCAATCACAGCAGGAACAAAGACGTATTTGTATGGGATTGCCTCACACAGGTACCTGGGAGCCCCCAGTGCCAGCCCTGCAGAGCAGCTTATTTGTACTGGGCCTGAATTCTGTGGTGGTGGGATGCTGCAATCATCAGAGACAGGAGGAACCACACTGAAAACACTACAAACTTATCCACCTGAAAATTTTAAATGTATTTATAACACTACCTTGATTTATTCACTAAGAATTTTATGACAATATTGCATCCTAGATCAAATAACCAATGTGGGAAATCCATCTCTAACAGTTAAAAATATGACATAAATTTAATAAGAAATGTACCTACCTTCAGCTGTTACCATGGGCAGGCAAGGAGTAAAAGGAAGAAAAAGAGAAATTTACAATTTCAGTTGTGGGATTCTGACCCTGCTAAAACATATTCTAAGAAAAAAAAATAAATTTAAAACTGTTTGAAAACTCAACCAGGTATCTTCAGTATTTTACAATTCCATTTCTTCCCAGTGATACAACTCAATATTTGTAGATCAAACAGAAACACACTGAAAGTAAAAAGCTTTTATGTGGGGCAGCAAAACTGCAATTTATTGTGCATGGGACAAGGGCTTTATTTGTAATTGTTTTATTGTTATGCCACACCTATACTGCAAAATGTTCCTTATTGGATTTACTCTTTTGCAGTTTTTGAGGCATTTGAATAATTCTATTAATACTGACTGGATCATTCACTAATCTGATTTGTGAATCTAGACTTCAGGGTGTGTACAATTATTTTATTTTATTTTCTTATACAGAAACAGTCCTTTGAGTATTTTCTGCTATTTCTGCTCTATATTTTCTATGTACAGAGAGGATTTCCTGGGAAAGAGGTTCAAAGAGGAGCCAGGTACCACAAGTACCTGGAAAGGAAAAGCAAAGAGATGAAGATGAGTGAGTGGATGTCTCTTCTGTCAGATGTTTGGGGTTTTCCATCTTATGGAGGCCAGGTGCAAACTTTAAAGTCACTATGTTGTACAGTGACTTGAATGTTAAATTAAACATGAAGGGTTGTGTCAGTATTCCATTATGAGGGTTATGAAAAATAATGCAAAAACTTATCAGCAGAATGCCTGAAGAATCATTCACAGTTGAAAGACACTTAGCAATTCATTGGCTGCAGGATTTATTCCAGCTGAAAGAAAAAACCCACTAATCCCCTGTAAGTATCTCTGTTATGCTAAAATGCCTTAAGTTTTCATGCCAAATTCAAAAGATTAGGAAGTTTTTAATGTAGAAGGCAGCAGAGAGCCCACGGAGAGCCTGCAAGAACTTTTAGGGGCTCTAGGTAAAAGTTTTGGGGAAAAAAAAATACTGGGTGCTGACGGAAGAGACTGAAAAGCCTCTGTTAGACCTGTAGAACCAGGGTGGCTGGAACAACACACAGAGATGAAGTTTGGGTGGCTTTGGGGCACTCTGAGCAAACAGCACTGCCTTGCTTTGATAGAGGGGAACAGACTTTGTTACACAGATGTTGAACAGAGAGGCTGAACTGTTTTACTAAGAACAGAGTTCATCACCAGCCAGAGTATCAGAGGAGTTGAAAACAAATTGTCTACTCTCAATATAATTGCTTCTCTTTCTGCAATATATATGAATGCTGTGTTTTACATATGCAATCTCAAATTCTTTTACAACTTGATGCATCCTGCATGAGGAAGAGCTCATGCAAATTTTCCTCTTTCATGCAGAAAGAGGTTACTACATCTACCCCTAGGCTGAAATATGTGGAAAAATGAAGGAGAAAGTGATGTGAACTCATTTTAATATAGCTGGATTACTAGATTAGAAATGCTTCTTGGTTTGGTTTTTTTTTTTCTGTAATAGTTTATGTATTTGGTTTAAAATACACTTATTTTAAATTTATAGTACTTTGCCTGTACAATTTAGTAATGAAGGATGGTTTGATGGAAGTGAGATTTACAATGAAAAGTAATTTTTGCATGAACACATGTGCCAGGCTTGGAAAGTAGATTTTTCAGATACGTTTAAAAAAAACTGTGCCCACATGGAAGCCTTTCTTTAGGAGAACGTCAAATGAACACTTGGCTTCTCAAATGCAGTAAAAATCTGAACATGTCTGTACCTTCAGTGGGTTTATCAGCAATCACATCTTCATTGTCATTTTCTTCTGGTTTTGTTACCACCATGGATGTCAGTGGTGTTACAAACTTGTACTTCAGGGAGAGAGCCAGGGCTTCAGCTGTAAGGTTTTCCTTTTCTTCTCCTGTAGCTGCAATACTGAATACAGGTAGAGACTCCCAGCATCAGTGACTGCTGAATTACTCACCAAATTCAATATTTTACTTTAAAGTGAAGTCATTTCTCTGCAGCTAATTTATCAATAAGACATACTTGTTACACTCTAAAAGCACTTCTAATTCCCCTGGCTATCCAAGAAAAAAGCGAACCTGTGCTTTATACTTGCAATAATTTAAAATTGTTTCATTTGCAACCTGGAACAGGAATATTGAGGCTAGGGAGGAGAATAGGTAGGGGGATTTTCCTTACTGATTTTTATCCTAGAAGCTGCAGGAGTCAGAGGGCTTAAGGAGTTCATAGCTAAGATGTTATTCTAGATATAATTACCGTCTTTCCAGGAGTTGTTCAATGGTGAGATAAGCCCAGAGCCTTTCAATGTACTCTCCAAATATGTATTCTTGTTCTTGGAAAGCTTGAGCTGTTTGCTCAGCATCTTGCTGTGTAGTGTATGACAGGGCATCTTTAGCCTGTTGGGAGTAAAAATCAGGACCTTCACACCTGAAAACCTTATCAAGTTGAAAAACAGTTTGGTTCCACCCAGCACTTGCCCAGGAGATTGCCAGTGTTGTATGAGGAATTTTGACCCATTGTTTCTGTGAAGGTCAGAGGTGTACACTACAGGACATAACACAGTTTCCAAATTCACATGGCGTTTTTGTTCATCAGAATTTGGCTATTCAGGATTAAAGAACTTTGATTATGATACTGATTTCAGAGAGGAACATGCTCAAGCAGACAGGTTGGAATTAAGTTCACAGTAGCACATTATTTGTATTTAAAGTACACCAAAGTCCACGGTCCATGGGGCATATTTGCAATCCATGATTTATGATAACATGGTCTGGAATACGTTTGTGTTCTGTTTCTTGAACATCAGGGGTAAATATTTTTACTGAATCCAGATGTGGAGAGAGGTATTAGAAGTAGAGTTCTATTTTAAGGGGAAGATATTTCAAATATTCAGCTGGCTTATTCATTGGTTTTCTTCATCCACTGAAGAGAAGTGCCTGTGAACACTGAAAATTTGGCTCCCAAAAGAACCAAGTAGGGTATTTAGAGACTAAATACATACACTATTTATATATTTATAAATATATGAGGATATGTATAAATACATGAGTATATTTATATATATTTGTAAGCAAAACTAATCCAGTCACACTGCACAAAGTTGTTCCAGACTCACCCTACTACATCTGAGTTAGGCAAGTAATTTGCAATTTTAAAAGCAATGACTTTGGCACGTTTAGTTTCTCACATGTGCAGTAACCCATGCTGTCACTGAGGTAAAGAAATACCAATAAATATTTTAAGTATTTAAGTAGTGCCAGCTTTGAACATTCAGAGGTTTTGTGTATCTTACATAAGTTAAAGAAATCCATACTTACACCTTCACCTCTGACATCTACAGTCAATTGGTTTTGGTTGCTGTCTACAAAACGTCCAGCCACCACAATCTCAGACCCATCGTAGAAATGCTTAAAACTGTTCGTAGTTAGGTCTTGTATTTCATTTTCTGGGTAGTTTAACTCCACATCTGTGAGCATGGGATTTGACACCTCATCATAAAACCCCTATAGGATAAAAAAAAAAAAAAAAAAGGAAAACATTTAACTCTCATTGTTTCTTTAATTCGTAGATCTGTAACCAGAAACATCCTGCTATTTTGGCAATGAAAACTGCAAGTGTATTTTATAAGAAATATTTAAATATTTGGTTAGCTCTCAGAGCACAAGGCCTAAAAAAAATCTACAAATAAGGGAAATGAGAAAGGACATACAACTCTTCAGTCTCGCTTAGAGAGAGAAAAAAAATCTGAGAATAACATGCTGTGGATGATGAATCAAGAGGGATCCCTGGTATTTGATAGAGATAAGTTTCTAGATCTATTCCCAGCAGAGACTGACGTAACAACATAGTCAGAGCAGACTATTTTTTACTATATTTGATTTCAAGCAGAGCCTGAAATGAAATCCAGTATCTAATTCTTTGGTGAATTTTTTGAATGGCTGCTATTGGAATGGGAGAAGTAAAACAGGTCAACCTCATAAGGCCTATACCTGTTTTCATGTCTTACACAACTCTAGAATGCCTCAGAAGTAGGGTAGGATACACCTGCTTCCAGTAAGTTTCTAAAGGCAGAATATCTAGAGCCTTATGATCTGTTCCCCTTCTCGTCCCTTGACATGACATTAACCACATGATCTGTGAGCTTTGGGATATAAATGAGTGGAGGAAGTTTGCTGCACACCAGGTGCCTTTCAGAAGCATGACTTGTGTCACCCTGTGCCAAGTTTTGAACTCTCTGCCACAGCCCCCAGTATCTCCCCTTTACTGTTCTTCCATCTCCTGCTTATATGAGGGAAGAAGAAAATCAAATGCAACTAAAGGTCCCTTCCAACTCAAACTATTCTATGATTCTAATATTCTGATTACAGCAGATTCTGGAGTATCCCAGTATCAGATTACACACTGGGTTTTTGATTGCTTGAAAAGAAGAATAACTCTATAGTTATCTGAACCAATGTATTTTCATCTGATTTAAGTGGTAGTTACTGTACTTGAAGCTGTAAAGCTGCATCAGAGTCAGGATAAATCCGACGGGCCAGTCCTTTATTCTCCAGTGCCATCCTCTCCAAGAAGCCATAGTCTACACCAGAGCCAAACCCAAGGTTGTATAAGGGGTATCTTCCTTTAATTGCATTTTTTACATCTGTCTCAATGGTGTGAATATCTGATACACCTGCATCAAACCAGGAAACGTTTGAGTTGTCTTCAAAAATAGATAAAATGATCACAAAATTAAATGTGACTCGTCATGTTCAGATTTCTTAGGAGGCATTATCAAAAACTTGGTTCAGTATAATGATGTTGTATAGTAGCATTTAAATCATGAAAACATCAAGAAGTCAAAGGTGAAGGCCAGTTTTAACTAGCATTTTTTATTAGTTAATTAACTCTCTCTATTATTCTATCCAACAGAAACTTACCTTCGTTTGGCTGGCCATCTGTTAACATGATAATTATAGAGGCGCTTCTCTTGGGCACAAGGTTCCCTTCATGAGCAGCATTCAGAATATCAATTCCCCTCATCAAACCACCATGTAAATTTGTCACTATGGGGTAGACATAGAAATTTGGGTTCAGCAGAGATCATCAAAAGAAAGGCCCACTTTTCACTGGGATCTGAAGAGATTTAATTACAGTATGAAAATGAAAGATTTGGGTTTATAAGCAGGGGGATGATTAGATAGAGAAGTACCTGGACTTTGGAAACATAGAGAGAAATAGATGTCATATTCTGAGTAAAATTCAAGTTCAGGAGTGTCTCATCAGTAATCTAAAAACCCAACAAGCTGTAGCATTGTGTTCACAGAATGAACAGATAAATTAACTTACACAGTGACCAGGTGGCAAGTCCAGTGAAGTACTTACTGCCTGAAGCATCAATGTTCCGAACAAACTCCCTTGCTTCATCCAAATTCTCAGGAGTGGCCTTGATTAATGTTTCTTTCCAGGTGGACACACCAGAATTGAACAATATGAAATTGAAGAAGTCATCTTCTTTAATGTCATCTAAGATTTTTAGAAGTGCTTCTCTTGTCTATAAGACAAAGAGATTTAAATATACAATTCAACATTCAACAGAATAGGTGCTTACAGATTTGACATTATGAATCTCTCAGCATTGGGGTATTTTTAACTTCTACATAGTGCAAAAATCCTGAGCTTGTTCTGTCCTTGCCAGTCCCTGTGCCTGTTTCAGAGTAACTCCAGGGAAGTCA